AGCCAAAAAATACCCAAAATATACAAAACAGTCACTGCACTTTACAGCGAATCCTGTGAAGGATTGAAAGGCAGTATATCAAATGTAAGGATTAGGATTGTTATGAAATATTGTCGCTCCCTGAACAGGGAGTCACAGAAGTTCAGATCCATTTCTCAGACATCCACACAGATGTACAGGGATCATCCAACAGCAATCAGGATCAGCCACCTTGCCTGATCTACCTCCTCCTACAGAAACTGAGGCCGGTGCTTACTGTGCCCAATCACTGTCCCGGCAAGATCAATTTTCTCAGTACAGATTCGCCCACAAAATACAGTCAATTCACTTTACAGTCTATTGTGTGAAGCGCTTTGAGACGTCTTGAAGACGTGATAAGGCACTATATCGAAAGGATTATTATTAACACTGCTCCCACTGTGCCCACCGCTCTCGTGAGATGAAGGAAAGAAAGTCAAATTCAAGCAGAAAATCTGATGGCTTTCCAAGGTCTTCGTGAAAGAAACGGAACTATTGGACATCGGTCAAGGACTGGTCAGGGCTTGGTTACGAGCCCCCACCCCCCGGCTCTACACCCACCAACAAACACAATGGTCTCCTCCCCAACACCCAGGGAGAGGGGAGGTGGGAGTTGATAGGGAGTAAAGTGGCACGATGGCGTGTGTGCCAGAGTACCCGAGACTCAAGCGTTCAGAGGTAAAGGAGAAGAGAAAGTCTAGGATTCAGAAGTTCCTTCCAGCCTCAGCAGTGGAAAAGCACACGGACACCTCACAGCCTCATGTACATGTCAAAGTACAGTGCAGTCTGTTAATAGTCAACAGCATCTAAAATTTAGGAGCCAAAAGTCCAGCATCCTACAGACACGTAAAGCACTTATCTCTTAAAATATTGCAGCGCACACACAAAATCTCTCAAAAACAATTTCAACCAAGGACAAGGAATGTGGAGGGGAGGAGGAGAAATTCAGTCCAGCTGGCCATTCAGTCAGTCCCGTTCCCACACACTTCAGAGGACATTTTGCTCTTTCTCTCTCCGTTAACACAGCCAGGGCTGAGACCCCATGGTGGCCTGTGTATTATTATGAACAAAACTCAGGAATAGGTTAAGCTTAAGCTTCTGAAACTGCTCCGGCACAAGATTAGCATTTGGACTTTGGACACGGTACATCACCCGGGCAAATAAAATGCGGTTTAAGCATTCACATGGGCGAGCTGAACTCGAGATGATTTCGTCATCTTCATTAAAAGGATTAAAGTTCTTCGATAATCAGAACTGTATTGAGTTATATTCAAAACAACCTCATTCTAATCTGTTTACACTGATGGGTTTACACACAACATGGGATCATGTATAGAGCTGTACAAGGGGACAGATTGTGCAACCCCTAGAAGCACAGAGACTGCTCCTGAACACGTCAGCTTCCCCCTCACTCGAGGGATCGGGGGGGTTGGGCAGGAGTGGGGGTTCCAGCCTTTGTCAGGCTGCTAGCAAGATAAACATAGGGTTTGCTTCATCTGCACACAGGAAGGCTGTGACTGAAATTACAACCTGACCTTTAATATGCAGGCCCTGTGGTCACTGCGCTTTCCCAACAATAAGCAATGCAGCAGATTTTATTTGGTTGGGTGTGGGGGGAGAGGGGGCACAAAGCCAGGGGATGTGGGGTGCCGAGGCTCCAGTTATTTGAGGAAAGTAAAAATGTATTTAAAATAAAAGCATTTTATATTTGATTAACAGTGCAAGTTTGTTATTATTAATAATATTATCTTTGCGTTATTAAAATAATCCAGTCTTATTGGATCCCTTCTCCACTGAATCTCTGCTTCGTGTACAGATCTCAGTGCTGTTCAGCTTTATCATACAGACACCCACTTACAGGAAACTAATCAGCAAGTCCCAAGGCTCACAGGGGCCTTCGTAACCTCAGAATAGGGCTGCGGAGAGGTCCTGGCAGCCAAGCTCTGACAGGAAGACACATCCTGCCATGAGACCCCGAGCTCTGATGCCCCAGCCAATAAAGCTCAGATGGAGGGAAAAACAGGGAGAGAAAAGAAATGAAGTGAGCTCCGAAAAATGGGGGTTGTTTACACTGCAGAACCACCTCTCGGAAGTACCTTGCACGCACCGTGCGTCCATTTCCTCAGCACCAAGGTTTCAACGCTCGCTCACAAAGGACACTTCTTGCTGTCAGAAACTGTAGGGTTTGGGGATATTTTGTTTGACTTTGGGGCTCAAGGAGTCTCGTCTCTACACTAGAGCGTGTACCAGGACAGTAATAATTTCCACTAACCAAACTGACTCATTCTGAAAATCCTTTCCAATGCTTAGGCCGGCACAGAGGAGATACCCTCAATCCTGCTATACAGTAAATTACATTTGTATAGCACCTTTCACGTCAGGAGGACGTCCCAAGGCACTGGACAGAGTCAAACCAGAGGTGAATGGTGTCCTTTAAGCTACTGCACCATCCGATCCCCTGCAGTAAATCTCCTTAAGAAGTGAACTTGCCAACAGACAGTAGGACCAGAGGACACAGCCTGCGATTGACAGGGGTGAAATTCAGAACAAATCTACAGAGATGCTACTTCAGTGAGTGAGTAGTAAACTTACGGAATAGGCTCAACAACAGCTTGTGGAGTCCTGTAGCTCAGTGGTTAGAGCACTCGCTTTGCGAGTGAGAGACCTGAGTTCAATTCCAGGCAGAGGGCGAAACCTCGGGCAAGTTTCCTTACCCCACACAGAGCCTAATAATAATCCTCCAAAACAAAACAATAATAAATTGGTCATTTTCAATCCACGACTGTTTGTGGGACATTGCTGTGCGCAATTGGCCGCCGCGTTCGCCCACAAATATACAGTCAATTCACTTTACAGTGTGTTCTGTGAAGCGCTTTGGGACGTCCTCCCGACGTGAAAAGCGCTATATCAAATGCAAGGATTATTATTATTATAAAAGTGCTGTTCGTTTCATGAACAAATTAGACAGATTTCTGTCAGAAAATAATATCTTGGGATACAGTATATAGTTTGTACCACGACACTTCAAGCGACTGCCAGGATCATGGAAGGCGAACTAGATGGACCTTGGTCTTCTTTCGCCTAGTAAATTATTACGTTCTTATATTCTAGACAAGAAGCACAATGTAAATGGCTTGGCTTTTGTGGGAACACCCACCAGAGCGGAAACAGACAGTCTATTCTCTCCAGATAGAGATAGAGTTGCAAGTTGCAGACACCACAGAAGGTTATTTACAAGCAGCAATAGAACTGCAAAGGGGGAAACCAGACCACTTACGGTCTCATCTCATCCTGATGATTCTACTTACAACTGGATGAAACTCAAACCACAACAAGTTCTGTAAAATAGGGGGGAAAAAAAATATTTTGCTTTGCAGCACTTTGATGTAGAAATTGTCCTCTATTTGAAGTTCGGATGTCCTGGGGAGGTTGGGTTTTCATAAATGCTTTGAACAAGAAGTCTCAGATTGCTGTTTAGATTAGTCTGTGCAAACCAGAGGAGGTGGCCTGCACTTAACCCCTGAAAATCTGACCTGTTCTTTCCTACAGCCAACCCGCTGGGTTCAGCTTCAGAAGAACGGAACAGTTATCTCACACACACACGCAAACATACACAGCTGGGCTGTGAATCAATACAGAGCAAAACGAAAACAATATGGTAGATTAAGTAGAAAGTACAGACATCTTGGTTTATCAGTCAGTGTTTATCTGGTCCCACAGAGGAGCGTAAACAATCAGAGCGTCACATTTAGGTCTGACAAGATAATGAAGTGATCCTATTACCAACGGCAACATCATGAATTTTACATTTGTTCTAAGGGAGAAGAGCAGATTAACTCCATGGCCCTTACTGGAACATACATACACTTCCTCGCTCGCTCCCCTCCCTCTCTCCTCTCTCCCTACCGCTTGCCCCCCTTCCCCCACCAAGGTGCCAACTCAAGACGAGGTGTAATAATCTCATTTTATATGAGAAAAACTGATGCGGCGTCTGTAACTTCAACCTCTCGACACAAGCCACAGATAATTGCTCTCACGCGGAGCTACTTTTTCTTAAAAAAAAGATGACCGCAGTTGCCAATTTGCACACAGCATTGTCTCACAAATAGCACAAAGTGAATGACCAACGTGTGTGTGCGGGGTGTTGGGGGGAAGCAGAGAGTGAGGGGCGCTGTATAAATGCAAGTTGTTGCTGTTGAGATACTGGTGGATTTTTTCTACCTCTGGGAACACTGGCTCCAGCGGCGACGGTTGAGAAACCTGCCAACTCAGGACAGAAAGGGCTCACAGCTGGGACCTTCTTAAGCTAAGTCACGAGCTGCTTTGCTGTCAATCAAACCGGTGATCCGGGGCAGTGCCCAACACGGAGCGGCGCTCGCGGGACCCTGGCATGCTGCGATCGCGCCCACGGGCGCAAACGACTCTCTGGGCACCTTACCTATCCCTCTGCGAAGACGTCCCACCAGGGAGGAGATCCCGATAGACTTGGGCTTGACGCCCCAGACCAGAGATGTGCGAGCGATCCCGCGGTTTGTAGAGATTTAGAGACACGTGGAGAACTTTACACCATTGATGTGTAGTACAACTTATGTCACATAATATTTTATATTAAGCACTTGAGTATTCGTTACCTGTTAAGTCGTATAAAATCTGACTTATCCGTAACTTTTACATCAGAGAGGGGGGGGGGGGGGGGTCTGAATAGCCCACTCCTGGGTTTGTATGTGTCTAAGTCATGTGTGATACGACTAATGCAACTCGTATCAAACGGCATCGGGGGGGGGGGGGGGGTCCCAACTGATACGACTTACGAGAGGTTTAAGCCCCTGGCTGTCCCGCTGACTTGGCTAACTCTCCCGTGTTGCTGTCCTCGGTGTCGGTGCCCCCACACCGACTGCCCCGCCGGCCCCGGCGCTATCGAGCGGTCGGGTCGGGTCGGGTCGGTCGGTGGCCGTTCCCGCCGCCCCGCGTCTCCCCCTCACCTTCTCGCTGCTGCTCCGGGACACGTTGTCCTCCTCCGGGACGGCTGTCTGCACCTTCTCGCCCTCCCGCTCGGGCTGGGGGATGCCGTGCACGTACTCCTCCTTACAGCTCAAGCCCAGGCTCTTGAGCAGCTCGTCCGTCTCCCGGTCCACCACCAGCAGTCGGGTCTCGTGGGCCACCGCTTTGATTTTGCCGACCACCTGTTGGTGACTCTCCGCCTCGACGTTGTCGCCGTTGACCTGCACCAGCCGGTCCCCGGGCTGCAGGCCGGCGCTCTCGGCCGGGGAGTCCGGCTCCACCAGGCGGATGAACTGCCCCGTCTTGCCCTTCTCCCCGTGCAGGTGGAAGCCGTAGCCGTTGGCACTCCGGGTCATGACGCAGAGCCGCGGCCTGAGCTGTTCTTTGGTCATGTTTGTGGGTCTGTGTGTGGGTGTGTGTGTGGGGGGGGTCTGTGTGTGTGGGGGGGGTCTGTGTGTGGGGTGTGTGTGGGTGTGTGTGTGTGTGGGGGGGGGTGTCTGGGTGTGTGTGTGTGTGTGGGGGGGGTGTCTGTGGGTGTGTGTGGGGTTGTGTGTGGGGGGGTCTGTGTCTGTGGGTGTGTGTGGGGGGGTCTGTGTGTGGGGGGGGTACTGTGTGTGGGGGTCTGTGTGTGGGGGTGTGTGTGGGTGGGTCTGTGTGTGGGGGTGTGTGTGGGTGGGTCTGTGTGTGGGGGTCTGTGGGGGGGTCTGTGTGGGGGTCTCCTCTCTCTGTCGGCGGTCCCTCAAAGCGCGACCCACTCGGCGACAATGTATCGCGGACGGAGATACAAACCGATACACTGTATCCACACGGACAGACAGACAGACAGACGGGGAGTGCGCGCGCAGCTACCCCCGGCCCCGCCCCCACCGCTTTATAGAGCGAGGGCGGCTGATTGACAACTCGCGCGTCCAATCGCAGCCGCTCGTAGGTCACCGCCCCGCCTCGGCCTATCCTATCGGGACTAAGGGGGCGGGAACTCGCCGGACACCCGCTTTCATCGTTGGGGACGGGGAGAGGAGGGGGGAGAGAGGGGTAGGGAGAGGAGGGGGGGATGGGGAGAGGAGGGGGAGAAAGGGAAGGGGTGGGGAGAGGAGGGGGAGAAGGGAAGGGGTGGGGAAGGAAGGGGGGAGAGAGGGAGGGGGAGAGAGGTGGGGGTAGGGAGAGGAGGAGGGGGAGAGAGGGGTAGGGAGAGGAGGATGGGGAGAGAGGGGTAGGGAGAGGAGGGGGGGGAGAGAGGGAGGGGGTGGGGAGAGGAGGGGGAGAGAGGGTGGGGGGAGAGGAGGGGGAGAGAGGGTGGGGGGAGAGAGGGGTGGGGAGTGGATGGGGGGGAGAGAGGGTGGGGAGAGGAGGGGGAGAGAGGGGGGGGGAGAGAGGGGGGGAGTGGATGGGGGGGAGAGAGGGGTGGGGAGTGGAGGGGGGGAGAGAGGGAGGGGGTGGGGAGAAAGAATAAAAGGGAGGAGCGGAGGTCATCTAAATAAAGGCTGATAACCACAGCAATGGTTGGGTTCTGCGTAGAAGGTTTTTTTAATCTCAAAACGATCTTGCAGTTTAGTTTCGAGCGTTCAGGCTGCTGATACCAGTGGTCTAAGCGAGAGCCTGACACAGGCGGAAACCCATCGCCCTGGTTGACAGTCACCCACACCAGCCGAACTGAAGAGTTTATGCCTGCTGCCTGCACATGTCTGGAATGGAATGCTCACTGAGAGAGACGCACCCTCCTTACCTCATTCCAGAGAGGATTAATCATAGAATCATAGAATTATATAGCACAGAAGGAGGCCATTCGGCCCATGGTGTCTGTGCCGGCTCTTCGAAAAGAGCTTCCAATCCACTCCCCCCGCTCTCTCCCCATAGCCCTGCAAACTTGTCCTTCCCAAATAATTATCTACTGCTCTCTTAAAAGTTGTTACCGCATCGGCTTCCACCAGCCTTTCAGGCAATGCATTCCAGAATAAAATAAAAAATAATTAATGAGTATTAATTTAATTAATTTATTAATAGTCATTAATTAAGCCAAGGCTTGGGGACCACAGAGTGTGCATTTGGGGTAACTGCTGGAGTCTAACCAGCTAAAGCTGCAAAGCTGCTTTGAAAGCGCTGTCTGGCAAGCGTTCCACGACTTGTCCATCTACAGCCACTCATTAGGGCTTTTGCTTGCTAACCCCTAGCCCCAACCCCAGCCAAAGTCCCAGCCCCCACTCCGTTCCTCGCTCTCTGCTTTGTCTGTATCATTCAGTCACTCATTCAGCAATGCAATTTAGCCACTGAGCTTATGTGGGGGAATGAATATGTTTCAGGAACAAATGAAAACATCTGATCTTTAAACACTGGGATAAATATCACTCAATAACTTTACGGGAGGACACAAACTAGCTGCCAGATCTGTAATGTAATATCTATCTGACAAATAACCTTTAGATGAACCACATAGGCTAACAGGTTGAATATTTTGGTCAGCCTCACTAGTGGTACAGAAACCCTATACCACAGCTCACAGCGAGCAGATCTGTTCAAACCAAGCTTCTCCTTTTTCCCTCTGATTGGAAATATTTGTGGTTCTGTGTGGTCCAAACATTACTCGTTTGAAAAAAGTGAAACAATTTGTTTGAATATACCAGGCTGTATGTGAAGAAAAATTTGTGATTTTATTGCCCAATTACTGCCAAGTGGGAAGTTTCCACATATTTTTCCAATGCACTCCTCAACGGTCTCCCCAGCTCCACAAGAAAACACAAAAAAATACAAAACTACTGTCCTCGGGTTGTCTGTACCAGGCTTCACCCCACCCACTCCCTTGCAGTCACTACGCCCAAAACGCTGGAACTCCCTGCTTCAATCACTCCATCTTGCCCCCTCTTTTTCCTGTAACTATTATTGTTATTATTATTATAACACAGTTGAAGACTTTCCTTTTTGATCTTCCCTTTAGACACACCCACCCACCCCCTGGGTCGCCATTAAATCACACTGCTGTTAAGCACTCTGAGACGCTACTGAGTGAAGGGGGTGCTGTATAAATGCAAGTAGTTGTTGTTGTTTCACCTTAAGCAGTTCTGTGATATTCACAATACTTGGTTTGGTTATGGGTTTAGCACAGCAGTAACTAAAGATGTGTACCGTACAATGGGATCTGAACCTGATCGTTATAATAGAGCTTCTCCTTGTTAAAACAACACCAACAACAAAATTACATTTATAGATAGTCAGGAGGACGTCCCAAAGCGCTGTTATGTTTTTATAGCCAATTTTCAGCAAAACACTAACAGATCCATTTTATCACTAGGCCTTGTAACGTTGGTATTTGTAATGCACGTCTCCCCTTGGAAGCACACCCCGGTGAGCTGAGCCAAGTGACTCACACATTCCTGCTGGAGTTTCTACAGAAGTGAAAGTCGTTATTCCAAGGTCATCATTGAAAGGGTGGGGGGGTGTGTTGTCAAATAATTGTCAGTAAAATCTATTTGATAGCATTCTCAGATAGAAAGTGACAGATAGTCATGTCCTGTGGCCTCCCTTCTACCGTTAAAGCAACAAAGTACTGCATATGACTGCCATGTTGTGCCAAGTCCAAAAGAGCAAGTAACTAAGTGCTTGGAACAGGGATCTTCACGATGAGTGGGGGTGTTAGCTTTAGGGCTGGTGGGAGACTTAGTGATGTCATGTGAATGTTCAACAACAGTGCCAGGGGTGCCAGAGTGTACAATCGGGGAAGGATGTATCTCACTAAAGTCTAATAGCGTGACTCACATTTTCCAGGTGAATACGAGCTGAATGTAGAGGGAGGCAAGGAGCATTACAACACCGAGACTGCCAACATTGTGCAATTCCACAGTTCAGTGATGCCTGTAATATAATAAATGCATTGCATGATTGTTCTATAAATTGGTTATTCTTTTGCAACATCTCCCCTTATCTAGGTGCTGCAATAGCAATGATAAATTGTTATATGAAATTTCATGTTGCATTGTCATAAATAACTAATCTTTGCTATAGCGCCTAATTACATTCAAATAGCTCAACGTATTATGCCTCAAAGCACTTCCTGGCAAATTGCTGTTAAGTGTCGTAATTTGTCGACAAATGTGGCAGCCAATTTGCATGCCACAAAAAGCCATGGGGGAAATGATCAATTTATCTGGAAAATTGTTGGCCAAGAGACGGAGAATCTCCCCTCGCTCTTTGGATACTTCACTATCCATCTAAACAGGCAGGTGGGACCTGGCTTAACGTCCAATCAAACCTTGGACAATGCAACACTCCATCATCACTGCCCTGAAGTGTCAGCCAAAGACTTGGTTCTTTCCCCAGGAAAATCTGGTGGAGTCAACCTGGTGCTAGCTGGTGCCTGCTTATTGTTGGCTCCTGCAGCATTGGCAGAGACTCTCAGACATGGGTGGGATGTGGCCCAGGTAAGGCCCAAAAGGGAATAATTTAAAAAGTACCATGACCCTTACAAAAAACAAACAGTGACATATCATTAAAAATTATCACATCTCGCCTGTTGGAGGAAAATACCAAATGTCTTTAAGGTTATTTCAGAAAGATAATTCAATGTTTGATAGTTGGTTGTTCCATAATGATAGCTTCGGAATATAAAAAGGACAACCTGCCACAGATGGTGATGAAGGGAGCAGAGGCCGTCCTAAAATACTAGACTGTGTGCTATATCGTGACCCAGACTAACTGGTGCTGTGTAATCTATAATTTAGGGGCAAAATGTGTTTTGATTAAGGTGAGAGAGATTAGTGTTAGTAATGGAATAGTTTCCACTTATAGCAGTCAGTGTCAGCAACAAAACAACTTGGATTTATATAGCACCCATCGCATGGGGTTGTGTCTTGGAGTGCTTAAAATTATTGGAATTTGACATGAGCTGCGGAAAAAGGGGAAGTCACCATAGGCAAGGTTAAAGAGGAAAGTCTTCAAGTGCAATCTGAAGATGGGCAAAGAGGGGGCAAGGTAGAGGCGAGGGTATAACTATATACTGGCAGTGAGGTGTTTGAGAGGTCCTGGTAGATGTATTGAAAATTATGAAAGGATTCGATACAGTGACAGAAATAAACAATTTCCAAATGTTGATATATCTATAACAAAGTGGATTAATTTAAGAGAGACCAGTAGCAGAACTAAAAGGGAGAACTTTCAGAGAGGTGAGAATACGGAACTCACTGCCAAAAACTGGATGAAGCACAAAGTATCAATGCATTTAAGAGGAAACTCAATGCTTACGTGCGGAAGGGAATAGCGGGGTATGGGTGAGGAGATATGCTGGGAATAGGATGGGAGGAGGCTCATGTGGAGTATAAACATTGTCTGTTTTGGTGTGTAACTCCGTGCAGTTCTGTACTTCAAGGAAACAAGTGCCATCTGCTGGACTTCAAAATCCGTTAAATGGAAAATCTTCCCTCTTCCCAGTGTGTTTATTGTTGCCAAAAACATTCCAAGGCAGCAATAGGTTTGCATATGTTTCGATATAAGTCAGGTTTCAAATCAGACATATTTCCTCTTTCTACCAATAGTTCCAGTGGATGAGCTCGCACCGGATCAGATCACAAAGACTTATACACAATTTACAGCAGGGAAACAGGCCACTCGGCCCAACCAGTCCGTGACAATACTTACACTCAACATGGGTGTCCACCCATTCCTTATTCCCTGCCACACCCTTCTATCTCCCTCCCGTCCAGCTTCCCCCTGAAACGGTCTATACTATCTGATTCAACCATGACTTCAGGCATCTACAATCTACAATCGAGCTCCGCAATCTCACCACCCTCTTACAAGGAGAAGTCCCTCCTTAAATTCTCTCTTTTGATCCCCGAGTCGCCCGTCTAATAGATCTGCGTGTTCCCCCCCAACCCCCTCCCATCACGGTTAACATCCTCCCAGTCCGCGGGAGGCTGCTGTGCGCCACCGGCCGCCGCGCCTCGCCCACAAAGAGAGGCGGCCGCTCCGCTCTACGGGAGTACATGCCGGGCGGCGCTCCGAGGTGTCTCGGCGAGGCGACGGAAGGTCGGCCGGCTCCCTGGAATCCCAGCATCGTTATTATTATTGTTGTCGTCGTCGTCCTCCTCCTCCCCGATCAACCAGTGGGGAAAACAGGTCAAACCTCATCAGGGCCCTTTTATAATTTCAAAAAACAACTTCGACTGGGGTCACCCTCTTAAACCATCTCCAGCCCCACCCAACACCCCCACCCAACACCCCCCACCCAACACCCCCACCCAACAGCCCCCACCCAACAGCCCCCACCCAACAGCCCCACCCAACAGCCCCACCCAACACCCCCCACCCAACACCCCCACCCAACACCCCCCACTCAACACCCCCACCCAACACCCCCCACCCAACACCCCCCACCCAACAGCCCCACCCAACAGCCCCACCCAACACCCCCACCCAACAGCCCCACCCAACACCCCCCCAAAAAAAATGAGAGAGAGAGACAGAGAGGGGTTCCCCACATTGTCACTCCTCTGCCCCTGAGAGCAGCCACTGCCAGGCTCTGACGTCACCCCCAGCCCCGCCCCCCTCGCCGACATCTCGCGAGACTTGGGGAGGGGGAGATCTCGCGGGGCCGGGCCAAACTCTCGCGAGGTTTGGAGGATGCGGCCGGCAAGATGGCGGAGGCGGAGGGGGAGTCGCTGGAGTCCTGGCTCAGTGAGTAACGGCCGCCCCGCCAGCCGGGCCCCACCCCTCACCCCGCACCGCCCCCTCACGCGGACCCGCGCCCCGCCGTCCAGCGCACGGCCCCCGGAGCTTTCCCGCCCGCGCCGGGGCTCCGGCGCCTCGATCACCCGCGCTCTCTGTCGCCGGTCCCCAGTCGGTGGAGGGAGATCGGGGCCTGTTACTGTCACTGGCCACAACACGGGGGGGGTCACTGGCCACAACACGGGGGGGGGGGTCACTGGCCACAACACGGGGGTGGGGGGTCACTGGCCACAACACGGGGGGGGGCCACCGGGCAATCACTGGCCACAACACGGGGGGGGGGTCACTGGCCACAACACGGGGGGGGCCACCGGGCAATCACTGGCCACAACACGGGGTGGGGGGTCACTGGCCACAACACGGGGGGTCACTGGCCACAACACGGGGGGGGCCACCGGGCAGTCACTGGCCGCAATACAGGGGCCACCGGGCTGTCACTGGCCACAACACGGGGGGGGTCACTGGCCACAACATGGGGGGGCCACCGGGCAGTCACTGGCCACAACACGGGGGGCACCGGGCTGTCACTGGCCACAACACGGTGGGGGCCACCGGGCAGTCACTGGCCACAACACGGGGGGGGGGGCACCGGGCTGTCACTGGCCACAATACCAGATCAGGGCTGTCATTGTCCCGAGCCAGTGTACAGAGACCAGGGCTGTCATTCACTACAAACGCAGTGAATGAGAGGTGGGAGAGAGAGGAAGAATCTATCTAATTGTGAACAATATTATGTTTGTAGTTAATAATAACAGTCATCCTTGCAATTGATATAATACCTTATCATGTTGTGGAGACGTCTCAAAGCTTTTCACAGAATGTATTGTAAAGTGAATTGACTGTATATTTTGTGGGCAAAACGCGGCAGCCAATTGCGCACAGCAACGTCCCACAAACAGTATTTCTATTACGGGGGTGGGGTGGGGGTTTGAGGTCTGTCTGTAACTAACACATTAGTACAGGTGTGTGTCTGTCCATGGCAATAGTAAGTGAGTGTGTGTTTACATATTGCTGAGAGTGAGTCGAATTAATCAGACGTCCTTTTGATGTGAAAGGCACTATATAAATGTAAATCATGTTGTATTTTATTGTATTAATATTGCTGAGTCAAACCAGCTAAAACCGCATAGCTTGCCATTGATATCACTGACTGACAAGCTTTCCTGCTGCTTGTCCAACTAAGACCACCCTACAATTAGGGCTTTGGTTTGCAGGGTTAACTGGAGCTAAGATGGAACACTACCTACCCCCAGTGACAGGCTGGCTGTCCTATCATCAGCAGTGCCCTGGAGTACCGCAGACCCGCCTGACACAGAAACAGGACTACGAAGACTGTCACAGATGGGTTGAGATGAGGTGAAACTTCTTTAGCTCTATTTTTTCAAACTGAATCTTTCTTTTCCTTCCTGCAGATAAAGCTACCAGCCCAGCAAACCGACAAGAGGACTGGGAGTACATCATAGGCTTCTGTGATCAAGTCAACAAAGAACTGGAAGGGTAAGTGCGGCTGCCAGAATGATGCTGCTTGTTACATTTTCATTTAAGTTATTTTGCCTTTACCTGGGACCCTGGTCTCAGCCGAATAATGGCACCTCCGACAATGCAACCCACATGGAGCACGGCATTGGACTATGCAGCCTAGTGAGCTCATAGGCCTGATGTGGAGCTAGAACTCGCAGCTTTCTGACTCAGAAGAGAGTGCTACTAATTGAGCCAAGCTGACACCTTACCAGTGTTGGAAAATTGCACATTTCTAGATGCCATTTGAAGACATGGTTTTGCTTGACTTTGATTTCACTATCAAACATGTCAAAGCAGCAACGTAACTCTCATGTCAGCCTTAAGTAATTCGGAGACAAACCATGGCCTTTGGAACTACTGAGATTTCATCTTTAAAAAGTTATTGTGGACAGATTACCTGTGTGGGTGGATTGTTTCTTCTTGTTCAAAGGGGGAAAATGTATCTGAAACTGATGGTGATCATAAGTGCACAACATTTATGAAAAGGTCTTTATTATCTAGCCCTCTCAGTGACCACTGGCATCTATCCACAGAAAAAATCTATTTGGAATGTTAATTTATTTTCCAGGCCACAGATAGCTGTCAGACTACTGGCTCATAAAATCCAGTCTCCTCAAGAATGGGAGGCAGTACAAGCCCTTACAGTGAGTATGGGATTATTCACCAAAGTAGTGTCTGCCATGAGTATATAAGGGTTTTCTGAGACTGCACAAACCTCATTCTTAAACTACAGTTTGTTATTACAAATGCTTCAAAGTTTGTGGGACCTAACAAGTACTTGTCTGCTTCCATTCTTGAATATGTTTGAAATTTTTATAATAATACTTGCATTTGCTACAGCGCTTCTCATGTCAGCGGGAGGTCTCAATGTGCTTCACAGGGTTTACTGTAAGTTGTACTGAGTGTATATTTAAGGCAAATGCGACAGCCAATATGGGTACAGCAATATCTCTTTTGCAAGAGTTCATTTGTTGTTGAAGGAACTTGCATAACACAGTACATCCTCTTTCCACAGGGAGTGGTTGAGAGGCTTGGTGGCCAGCCCTCTTGTACATTGGAGATGTAGATAGTGGGAGGCCTGAGAGTAGGACTCCCTGCCCATCCTTTGGGTGGGGAATGGTGCTGAGAGAGAGAAAAATATCTTCATGTACTTCAATAATAATACTAATAATAATTCTTGCATTTGATATAGCGCCTTATCATGTCTTTGAGACATCTCAAAGTGCTTCACAGAATATACTGTAAAGTGAATTGACTATATTTTGTGGGTGAAACACAGCAGCCAATTGTGCACAGCAGCGTCCCACAAACAGTCGTGGATTGACGACAAGTTCTGTTTTACAATTTAATTTGGAATTATTTGTCTTAAGCAATCAATGTGAATTGTCAGGGTTTTTTTTACGTTGAATGATGTACTGTGAGGGTGTTAGTGCACTGTCTCAGGTTCCTCATGTATTCCAAGCTCCATACAGGAGTACTCAAAATAATGCTTATTCTTCAGTGCTTTGAAATGGAACACCACAATGGTGAAGGCTTTACAGCCCTTTGAAATCTGGATCTTGGGATTTTGCATAATGTTAGCCATGATTTGGAATTGTGCGATGGACGCTTCCATAATTTGGGAAAGCTGAGTGAAAGCCAGTGGGTGGAAGTGATGTGCTGTCTAACCTGTATAACGGTTGTAATTACAGTCAGTGCTTTGATTGAATCCAGGTGTTAGAAGCTTGTATGAAGAACTGCGGGAGAAGATTTCATAATGAAGTGGGAAAATTTCGGTTCTTGAATGAACTAATTAAAGTGGTATCTCCAAAGGTGAGTTCGACTAACGGATGTGAAGTGGCATTGTTATTTCAATGGGGAAAAGATGGGGTGGGGGGGGGTGAATGAAGAAGCATAGCTGTTCAAGTGGGGAATATCACAGTAACTGAAGCATATCCAGTGCCAGATAGCTGCGCACAAGAATCAATAACTGTTCTCACCAAGTGCAAACCTTTTACTTTCAGACATGAATTTACTCCATAGCTGAAATTAATAAAGTGCATTTAGACCAGTGGAGTAAGCAAACTATGTTCTCTGTCAAATCAATGTTGTGTAGAGCCTGAAGAGATTTTAAACCAAGGCTACAATTGTTAAACTCCTTGGACAGGGAACGTGAGCGTTCAGTCTGAACTCTGCCAGTGTGGTTTTGATTATTATTATCATAATCTTTTATAGATTCTTCTATTTTTTTCTTTCCTAGTATTTGGGAGACCGAGTGTCGGAGAAAGTCAAAATGAAAGTGATTGAACTTCTCTACAGCTGGACAGTTGCTCTCCCTGAGGAAACAAAAATTAAGGATGCCTATCAGATGTTAAAAAAACAAGGTATGGCTAGTTTGCCCAGTTAATCCTAACCCTCTAATAATAATACTAATAATGATAATAATAATCCTTACATTTGATGCAGGGACTTCCATGGCAGGCGGATGGCTTAAAATGCTTGATAGGTTAGTAATTTGTGAACAGCAGTATCCCACAAACAACCATGAAGTGAATGACCAATTTATCAGGAATTTTCGGCTAGGACACCGGGAGAAACTGAATTCCAAGTTCTGATGTACATGGGGTTAGAATCCACAACCTTCAGACTTGAAGGCAAGAAAGCTACTTACTGAAGCACTTACTTGTGTATCTTATGAGTTTGCAATGGTTTGGATTGGTGAATCCAGTCAATCATTGACCCTTGAACACCAGCTTACCTCCAACTCCTCATCATCTGATCGGTACCAGCAGACTCGATTCTCTTGAGCCTGAGCAGCTATAACCGTGGTTACTGGGGTGGATGACTGGTTAGTTATTCACATCCATAATCCCACTTCCTCACTATCTCACCACATAGTCCCACTTCCTAAATATCTGTTCAACTTTCTGAACCTCCCAGCTAGGAGAATCTCAAGGCATTTGAGGGGAGTGTGGGTACTGAGCAGGAGAAACACAGCCGCTAGTTTTGAATTTACTGCAAGAGCGAACTGCTCATTTTTTGTTGTTGTTCCTCCCCTCTACACTGTGTACCATTCCCAGGCACAGGCAGTGGGTGGGCTATCACCTTCCTCCCACGTGGCTGCCTTGTTACGTGCTGCTCAGAGCTTCACTGCAGTATCATTAGGCGACTTATTCACCAGTCTTGATTCTCATCTCGAGTCTGTGCCTCTACTAAGCAGGCAGCCCACCTGATGGCTGTCGCAATGAAGCCAAATCCTTGAACTCTGTGAGAGTCCACAGAATGTTTCCCCCCCCCCACCCAATCCTGTAAACTACGATTCCTGCTCTCTCCAAAAAAACATTTTGATAGCACCTTCCCTTTCACATCAATGACTCAAAGGGCTTCATAGATAATTGTTGTCAAACGTAGTGACGATTTTTGTAGACAAATTTGGCAGCTTTTCAGGTTGTGTTCTTATAGTGAAGGTGCGCATGTATCAACCCTTCTCAGATAACTGGTGTGAGCTGCTATTATTCCATAGGCATCCTTTAGTGTCAGTAGGGATCATTTAGGATTGAAAATAATGTCTCTTAATTGAGAATTCAGCACTACAAAGGTTGTACTTACAGGGTTCCTGATGAAGGTGGCTTCTTACCTGTTAGTGTTTCTGATGTTGTGCGTTTTGCTTGCAGGTATTTTACAACATGACCCTCAGATCCCTGTGGATAAGACGCTGGTTCCATCTCCCCCAACTCGGCCCAAAAATGCAGTATTTGAAGATGATGAAAAATCAAAGGTATTGAAAGCAACTTCTGATAAGCGCCTCTACACAGAATAATTGTTGTGTGCAATTGGCTGCTGTGTTTCGCCCACAAAAATACATTGTCAATCCACTTTACAATATATTCTATGAAGCGTTTTGAGACGTAGGTTCTTGTCTTCTCCTATTTATCTTGGGACATCCTCCTGATGCAAAAGGCTTTATATAAATGTAAATGTGTATAATATTGTATTGCAAATGAATTGACTGTACTGTAGTGTAAATATATTGAAATGGAACTGTGCCTAGTCTTATTACTTACTCCTCTTGTTATACTGATTTACAAGCCGTTTTTTTCTTTCACAGTTATTGGCCAGATTACTAAAGAGTAAAAATCCAGACGATCTTCAGGAAGCCAACAAACTAATTAAGAATATGGTGAAAGAGGTGGGTGTGGCGATTGCCCCAAGCTCGCTATCTCTCCCCCAGCAACTGCTTCTGTTGGAATTGATATGGTGTGGTTGTCTTTAGGAGAAAACAGAACTGTGTTTTTCCAACGAGTGGGATTAAGGCCATGATCAGTTCTATTATTAAAGAAGTTACAAACTGGCCAAAGGCATGTTCGTAAATATTTTCCTTTAGTTTCTTCTCTCAGTCAGTTTATGGGACCAATTATTAAGCGCTCTGGGACGCTACCTTGCTATATAAATGCAAGTAGTTGTTGTTGAATGGTGCTTAACCAGGTGCTCTGCTGACAGACATTGAGTGGGGATGCAAAGGGAAGGTACACAACACCCTAGTATTTTTGTCAACTGGGAATGGAAGCCCCTTATATCCTATTTAAGAGTCTCCAGTTTCAGCTACTGGGAACCTACTGCTCCCCCAGGACTGCACAGTTCTGTCAGCCTAGATTGTGAGCTGAAGTTCTGATGTGGGGCTTCAACCCACTGAGCAGGGCCGACCTTAGTAAACGTGTGGAATTGCTGCTGGGAAGTGGCTTTGTGGAGTCCTGTAGCTCAGTGGTTAGAGCACTCGCTGTGCAAGTGAGAGACCTAAGTTCAATTCCAGGCAGAGGGCGAAACCTTGGGCAAGTTTCCTTACTCCACACAGAGCCTAATAATAATCCCTCGAAAACCAAAAACAATAATAAATTGGTCACTTTCAATCCACGACTGTTTGTGGGACATTGCTGTGCGCAATTGGCTGCCGCGTTCGCCCACAAATATACAGTCAATTCACTTTACGGTATATTCTGTGAAGCGCTTTGGGAAGTCTAGAAGACATGAAAAGCGCTATATCAAATGCAAGTATTATTATTTTGTGAGGAGTGCAGCAGCAGTGTGAAAACCTTCTGATATATGATCTGATATTAGGAAAGAACTTGCCATTTCTCTCCCTTCGGCTGGCTTGGTTTCTGTGCTTTGGACCAGAAAGTAGGTCAACTGGTTTGAATTGTACAATCTGCCATTCACGGTGTCTAGGAGAATGAAGAGACTAAATGGCACTCTTTGTTCTCGGATCTGAGTGGATGGGGGAGGGAAAAAAACTGCCTTTGTCTGGCAGTTGAATAAAATGCAATCGCCTGTTTTTGCGGAGCTGTGTAGAATTAAACAGGAGGCTGCTTCTGGCGAGAACCTTCCAGTGCTTGTTTTCCTTAAAATAAAGATTTAAAATTGATGGCAGCCCCTGTGAGCGTGATGACAGAGCAGAGGGTGGGGGCCCAGTGCTCATGTCGTTCGTGTCCGCTAAGATTTACTACAATTAAAATAATAACAACAATAATTTGGTCACTTAATCCATCACTGTTTGTGGGACACTTCTGCGCGCAATTGGCTGCCGCGTTTTGCCAACAAAATATACAGTGAATTCACTTTACACTATATTCTGTGAAGCGCTTTGAGACGTCTTGAAGACGTGATTAGGCGCTGGATCAAATGCGAGGATTATTATTATTATAACATTTGCAGGATGAGGTGCGAATGCAGAAAATAACCAAACGCTTGAACACGTTGGAGGAGGTGAATAACAACGTGCGGCTGCTCAATGAGATGCTGGTTCATTATAACCAGGAGGAATCCACGGACGGCGACAAAGAGCTGATTAAGGTGCAAACAGAGAGAGCCTTTACCCCTACACTCCCCCTTAAACCTCCACTCCCCCTTATACCTCCACTCCCGCTTACCCTTCCACTCCACTTTACCCATTTCCCTCCTCCCCACCCCCTGATCACCACCGATACTCTCCCATCTGAAACCTGCTTTATGCTGTTGTTGCGTATAAAAATAATTTTTGAACAATTGGTCACTCAATCAACGATTGTTTGTGGGACGCTGCTGTGCGCAATTGCCTGCCGCGTTTGGCCTCAAAATATACAGTCAATTCACTTTACTGTGTATCCTGTGAAGCCCTTTGAGACGTCTCAAAGACATGATAAGCCACTATTAAAAATATTATTGTTATTGTACAGCTTCACATCTGACTTCAGCGCTTACACATTACCCAGTTTCTGTTTTGCATGAGCCTGGATGAGGAGGCTCACAGCCAAGGGACATTACATATGTTGTTATCTGTTCCAGCCAACACAGCTGGTTGTTTATCTGTTGCAATGCGCCTGTGTAGCAATATAAGACTGGACTTGCTGCAGCTGCACACTAAACATGCACATTTTTTTTAACAGGAGCTGTACGACCGGTGTGAGAAGATGAGGCGGACTTTGTTCAAGCTTGCTAGCGAGACCGAGGATAATGATAACTGCTTAGGTACATCACCAGTCATCCGTTTGGCCATTCTGGTGGTTCACCTGCTCAAGCCATTGCCTCCTGTGTAACTGGACCATTGCAGATGAAGGAAGTCTCCACTGAGTTAGTCAGACAATCCCTTCTCTCCCTAGAAACTCTCTGATCTCCTCATACACCACTCTTCTGCCCACCCCTATTGCTCAGCTACCACAGGCTTGCTGCCTATCCCTCGACCCCTCTGTGCCACCGTTAGTTGTCGAGACTTCAATCACTTCTCCCCTAACCTCTGGAACGGTCTCCACCCCTCTGACTTACCCCCTCACTATCTATTTAAATCCCACCTTAAAACTTAACACTTTGCTCACGTCTATGGTCACCTCGCCCTCCCCTTCTCCCTTGTTTGGTGTCCCTCCACTAGTAGGCGCTCTGACACATTACCCAGTGTGAAGGGCTATATGTGCATACAAGCTCTTGTTGAAACTTCATCTCAGTTACGTCCTTGATTTTTTTTTTCAGGTGAGATTTTGCAAGCCAGCGACGAACTCTCGCGTGTGATCAATTCCTATAAAAAGATCGTTCAAGGACAGACCGTCAATGGAGAAGTTGATTTACCTGAACTTCCAAAGCCAACAGGTAACTTGCTTTAAACATCACAGAGACCCACGGAACAATGGTGTGTAAAACGGTGAGAGAGGAGAGAGAAGGGGGAGTTGTTTAGTGAATGTGTTAACGTCCAGCCTTGCTGCCCTGTGTTTCAGTTAAAGCTCCTTCCACGACCACAGAACCCACAGAAACGCTGATTGACTTGGCTGGTTTGGATGTTCCCACGGTAACCACCGCCCCGGCAAACGCCACGGCAGCTCCAGCCTTCCCCCTCATCCCACCCCCTCCTCACGTGGCTGCTCACGGTGGGCCCCGGGCCCCCAGCCTGCCTCCCAGCACAGCCAGCGGCGCCCTGGGACTGTTAGACGTGGAGCTGCTCTCACTAGGTAATGGTGCTGGCCTCAGAGGGAAATCATTCACTTTGTTACTAAAGCTTCCTTCCCGGGGGAGGGAGGGGGAGTTCGGACTGTATTGGCTCGATGGATGGGGAGGTGGGGGCTTTGGGCTATACTGGCTGGAGGGGGAAAGACTGCGGGCTAGACTGGCTGTGGGTAGGGGGGGGGGGAAAGACTATGGACAGGACTGGACTGACTTGGGGGGGGGGGGGAGTATGGTTTGGCCGGGGTGGGGAAGAGGAGCCTGAGTGAGAAATCAGCACAGAGCATTGTCAACCAGGTGCGTAACATTCGCCTTGTTTGTCTGTGTCAGGACTGAACGATCCGCCATCGAATTCAGGTGCCGGACAGGACTTGGGAAGCTCCCGGTGGAAAACGTTTCAGGTTAAAAAAAAATTTTTTAAAATACACATAGCGCTGACGACTGTGTTGAGTGGGAGAAAGCTAGAAGCCAGTGAGGAAGCGCAACCATTACCTGCACTGTTTGATGTGGCTCCTTCTTACTGATGGGGTCAGACTCAGCCACCGTGAAGTGCTCCGGGACGCTACCCGCCTGAAGGGCGCTATATAAATGCAAGTTGCTGTTGTTATTGTTGGTGGTGGCTGGTGAGAATGGAGGGGGAAGGGGGCTGTAATCACAGATGGGACAGAGGTAGATCTTAAGGTGGGATTTATAGAAAAAAGGTGGATGGATGAAGCGAGGTCCCTGGTGACAGGGTATTGTGACGTCTCTGTGATACATGGCCCAGCGCTTTGAGATATTTTCCCGATGTGAAAGGCGCTATATAAATACAATTTGTTGCTGTTGTTGCCGCCTGTGATATTGGATGTGTTGCCAGCTGTTTGGCAGCTGTGCCGGGTGTAACAACCTACCTGTGACCACCCGTGTTTCCATTACAGAATGAAAGTACTCCCCTCAACCTTTTTGACACGACCACAGGCAGCGAGGGAAGCAGCTCTTGTCTGACGTCTCTGCTGCAGTCGGTACCTCAGCCGCTGAACCCGCTCTCAGCTTCCTCCGGCCCCACCTTTCCTGGGGCTCCCTTCGCTGCCACCTCGTGTGTCTCACCAGCAATGCCGCTCATGCCAAACCCGACAGTTCCTGGTATAGCTCGGGCCAGTGTAGCTCCTCACCGCACACTGATACCCGCTGCTCACCGAGGTGCCGACCCCACCACAGCCTCCGCACTGTCGGCCGCCCACACCAGTGGATCACCCTCAGTAAACAGCGGCCTGCTTGAGCTGGATTTGCTCAGTCAGAAGCTTCTAGAAGAGGTCAAAGGGTAAGTGAGCGGCAGAGAGCTCGGCTAGTTGCACTGTGTCTTGTTAAAAGTCATTAAGCTTTCTCCTCAGTCACTGCCCTTCAGATGGGATATCGGCAGCAGGAGATTGTAATATATAATATATGAATAATAATAAAGATTAAGGAGGTCAGTGAACGGAGGTGAGGAGACATGGAAAGAGGCCAAGGAGGGTGGCTTCTGTCTTGTCCGTGTTGAGCTGCAGAAAGCGGCCTTGACGCCTGATGCGCATCATGTCCACCAAGATGCACTCGGCAGGTCACCGTGTGAGCGCGGGGAGGAGAGACAGTCAAACACTTTAACGTTGGCAAAATGTATTGAAGTTGATCAGATGTGCTCGTCTGACAAGTGGCTGCCTTGTTTGTGTGATGCACTAGTCTGGCCATTCCTCTTTGTTAACAGTTAGTGTTTACTTCAAACGCAGGGAGTCTCGTCACAGGGGCAGCTCCTCGGGGTTGTCGGGGATGTCAGGGAGCGGTTTCTGCACTCCATCCGGGGCACCCGGCAGCCCCCTGCTGCGCTCGCTCTCCCCACAGCCCTCCAGCCCGCTCCGCACTGGCCTCCTGGCAGAAGCATCACTTGGCAACGTACTAGTTCAATTGGAGACCATTAAGCCAAGTAGGTATCGCACTGCCCTCTGCGTGTCTTCTTACTTGTGGGAATGTGAGAGTGGGAGGGATCCTAGTAATAGCTCAGTCTGTACTGAGCTATCTGATAGCTGTCTTCAGCATCTCCATGCTGGAGTGTGTGTGTGTATAGTGTGATGTTTTATTGTGTTTATTTTTAGTGTGAAGGGATTCTCTGTGAGTTTGATTCTGTGTTTAAGTTTCTCCTGACATTAATCTATTTGCTGTTGTATGAAGGGGAGTGTGATACCCTCCGCAGATTGGCTTACATTAGTCTCTCTGTGTCGCTCCCTCTCCCCACACGCAGGTAATGTGCTCCCTGTCACCGCATACGACAAGAATGGATTCCGGGTCCTGCTGCACTTTGCCAAGGACTGTCCTCCGTCCAGGCCAGACGTTTTGGTCATTGTTATCTCCATGATTAGCACCGCGCCGGTGCCCATCTCTAACGTGGTGCTGCAGGCAGCTGTACCAAAGGTAGGGGCTGAGGCTCGGCACTTTTCAGTAAATTCCTGTGAAGCGCTTTGTGATGCTTATGCACCCCCTCCATCGCCTTGACATCTTTCCTAACGTAGGCTGATCAATACTGGACACAATATACTAACTGCAGTTTAACTAACCGTTACTAACTTCCAGGGATATCTCGTGGGTTGACGACTGATGCATTTGTTCCTCACAGGCCATGAAAGTGAAGTTACAGCCTCCGTCCGGGAGCGAGCTCGCACCATTCAACCCAGTCCTTCCTCCGGCTGCCATCACCCAGGTCATGTTATTAGCCAACCCTTTGAAGGTAATGACACCCATCACAAGCAATCCTTGACCCACCACACTAGGTGCCAGATGGCAAACACCAAAGCCACTTAGTTTGTTATACAGGAGGATTTGATGAAGGCTGTTTGTTTTCAATAGAAAGTTTGTCTTGTTGCAAAACATACTCTTGATACCGAGATGTCAGCCTGGCACTCTCACCTCTGAGTCAGAAAATTGTGGGTTCAAGTCCTGTTGTCAGGACTTTTAACTCGTAGAGTCGAGGCTGCCGCAGGTCTCGGTGGAGGGAGGAAGGAGGTGCTGCATTGTTGGAGGTGCCGTCCTTCTGATGAGACGATAAACCGAGGTCTCGTCTGCTTGTTCAGGTGGACATCAAAGATCCCTTGGCACTATTCGTAAATAGAAGGTGTCCTGGCCAACAATCCCCCAAATAAAATCGGCCATTCACCTCAAAAATGTGGGACATTACTGTGAGCAAATTGACTGCTGTGTTCGCCCTCAAAATACAGACAGTAAAACCCTGTGAAGTGCTTGTGACGTCATCCAATGTAAAAGGTGCTCTGATAAACGTAAGGATTCTTAACATCATGTCTTCCGCTCAGCACCTGGGTCACTTGATTTTTTTTCTCTCTAGTGTTTGGTGCGCAGTGTGGCAGTGGCTCTGTATAGTGACTGCAGGATTGGCAGGTTTAGTGGGTTCTGTGCGATCAGGTCACATTTTCACTCGCCGCCACTGGTCCTGTTCTCTTTCCTCTCTCTGTACAGGAGAAGGTTAGACTAAGGTACAAGTTAACGTTTACGATGGGAGATCAGCCATACTCGGACCTGGGAGAAGTGGACCAGTTCCCTCCAGCTGAGAGATGGGGAAGCCTCTGACCCTCGCTGGTTACCAACCACAGTGTCGAGATTCACCGAACACCGAGATTATCCAACCAGGACCTCAAAGCCGAAGGAACGCACCATTTGTTTTGCTCAGTGTCTCAATGCCACCCAAACGCCAGTGGGATTGGGTTTGAGCTGGGGGGGTGGGGTGGTGGGGGAGCGTGGGTTCAGGCCTGGATCAGTCATGGGTTCAGGTCTGCTTTATCATTCTGCACAGCTGAAAGGGGGAACAATGTGTCTGTACTTCAATCATTCCACTCCTTAGGCCAGGCCAAACCCTCCCCCTCATATACAGCCAGTGTGTGTGTGTGTGTGTAGTCGAGGACTGGTAACCTCATGAGGGACGAGTTTTGAGTTGAAAAGAGCAGGACAGTTCCAACCAACATTGATTGTCTGTTCCCACAGCTGTGCTACCGTTTGCTGGCGAGGGAGGGGCACATGAGCTTTTGTTGGGGTCTAACCCACTGGCACCAAGGGCACGAGAGCTTGGGTTATTTTAATTTCTCCTCCCAAAAGAGAGACCCAAATTCCCCCCCCTCCCCACAATGCCTGTCGGAGGTCAGGAGCTCTCTTCATTGTTTTTGCCTGCATTGCCATCGTCATTGCCCTGGGCTGCTGACACCAGGGCAGAACTGAGGCCTCTTATAATTACTGTATAACCCTCCAGGGAAACGGTCATCGGCCTGCTGGCTGGTTATGGGACATCGCTGTGCACAAATCAGCTGCCACGTTCGCCTACAAATACTGTGAAACGCTTCCAGATGTTTCAACATGATAAAGGCGCCTTATTAGACACAAGGTTAATATTATTATTATTTACGATTTATTACGATCCTTCCAGTGTGCAGTGACGCCCAGTCAGTGCCGAGGTTACTGAGGACAGGAAACTCCTGTTTAGAACGATTCCCATGTTGTGAAATGAAAGTAAAGTGGACCTGAGTGGAGATGTGACATTCCCAGGGAGTGTGAGCGCAGCACAAAACTACCCCTTGATTAGCATTAAACTGGCAAATCACATTCATATTGGCAAGAACACAAGGTTCTTTTGAGGTCGGGGGCCAAGGGACACACTGTTAACTTAAACTAGAGGGAGCTTTCACCCGCCCCAAACTGCGCTATTGCTGACCCAAGTGCGAATGTTAATGCTGAAGTGTTCCAGTTCCCAGCACTGACACACCCTCACTCGAATCAGCACAGAATTCACTCAGCAAATTGCACCATAGCATTGAATCCGATCCCCCAGCCGTTCGTCTGTCTGCCCCACAATGTCTGGCCATGCCTATTGCGTCTCCACGTGTGGGGACACCCGGGGCTGTGCTGCCACGCTTCACGTCTGCGAGAAAAAGAAACCTCATCTGTTACCTTGAGAGCCGTGCTGGCTCCAGAGCTTTGTGTTGCACTTGTTATAATTAAAGACTGAATCTGACTGATAATCTCGTCCTTTCTTCCCTCCACCCCAACCCTACCCCTCACCCCCATCCCTCCCTCCAGCCCACCACCCACCACTAACAACAACCAAACTGTGACATACTTTGGTATGAAAGCCATCGTTTTTGCACAACATTTGACCAATTAGAGTTTGGAGATCATTCCTCGGTGATGTAATGTGTTGCTGCTGCTTTGTATATTGTATTTATTGTTCGAAGTAAAAAAGGAAATGATTTCTCTCTGTGTCCACTTGCACTTTTGCTCCAGCTCACAGTAATGTGAATACAGTATTTAAGCTCTGCTTGTCTTTCGCACAACTTTAAATAAATCAATCGATCTTGGTGCTGATCTGAGCTGTTTATAGATTGTTGTAGTGGTTCAGTTCTGCGCTGGTCAGGGTTATGAGAGAAAGAGAGATCTCAGGCTCCAAGTCAGACCATTGTGGAGAGAGAGAGGCTTTATCCTCTGTACAGCCTGAGAATGCTGAGCAAACACAAGTGGGAAACATGAGTGAAATGGCATCAATGGAGCTTAGCTTACTGCCTGACCACGTGGTGGAGTGGGTAAGGTCTCATGAGGAAGGCCCCTGGGTTTCTCCTGTTTGCTGGGAGCCAATCTCAGTGGTGGGGCTTCCTAGTGCTTGATGGTGATAATTGGCCTCCTGTTTTCCAATGTTGCTATTTGATGAGATGGATCATTGGAAGGTCTTGAGTTCAATGCAAAGCTTCCAGTTGATCTTAGCTGTAAACACCTTCACCACAAGGCGACACTGTTTGTGGTCAAACTGGACAGATTCAGCTGAAGCATCAATCCTGCTGTGCTCAAGGTTGAACCACCCTTGAGTGTTGAGGATGAGCAGCCACCAAGGCGCGTACTGTACATCGCAGTCATCAGTCCTGTTTGCTTCCCCACTGCAGCTTTGAGCACAATCACTCTCTATAACAGATTTAGCAATGCTCCCCCCTTACCACCACCACCATAGCACCAAACAATACATCAACAATGTCAGTAAATGTGCTGGTGGATTACAGCGTCATAATCCCTCCAAAATAATAATAATTTGGTCACTCAATCCACGATTGTTTGTGGGGCACTGTTGTGCGCAATCGGCTGCCACGTTTCACCCACAAAATATACAGTCGATTCACTTAACAGTATATTCTGTGACGACGTGATAAGGCGCTATATCAAATGTAAGGATTATGATTATATTATTATAAACGTGTCAGTGGCCTGTTCACGCCGGTGTAGAACAGCACGGAAACGGCAGATCTCAAATTAAACCTTTATTCCGGAACTCATTCACTTACACATCAATCATTGATAATAAAATTAAAATTTTATTCTGGAATCAATAATTACTTACATCTCTCCTGATCAGGGTGCCTTTTATAAATCTTACATCACATCCTGAAACATCTCTAGCTGAAGTCACTCGTCCAGTTGATCGCGGGGCAGAATAGCTTTCCTAGGGTCAGGGCTGCATCTAATTTTATTTCGGTATCACAGAAAACACAACTCGTTTAAGAAGGTTACTGAAGGTTGCTGGTCGAACTCAGAGGAAGGGGTTTAGCTGGCCAGATGCCTGGGGCACGTGGGCAGGTTGAGTGACTGGCATGAGAGGCTGCGGAAGGCTACTGGTCATGTTCACTGTAGTCCCCATGTTTGGTGCCATGCCTCCCAGCTGAGCCAGGCCACTGAAGGTAGGTGGGAGCGTCAGGGACACAGGCATGCTGCTGTTTAAGGCCATCGGAGGAGACGACATGAAAGGCATGGAGCCCGACGCCAATCCCACGGTGCCACTCTGGGTCAGGCTGTCCTGCCCCAACCCGGAGCTGATCTGCATCTGATTCAAGGTTAACTTGTTCCTGTCACTCACTTGGAAAGGGTTAATTGCCGATGGTGCACTAGCAGCTCCTGAAGAGAATTAAAAAAACGTTTGGGTTAATTGAAACACTCGAATGTCCGTGACACAGCTTTCTGTTTCCATGCAATCTCCCTGTCCCAGCGTTAGAGTTTACACACTTATTCCCCCTCCACCACACACCCCCTCCACCACACACACAACTACATATCCCTCAAGAACACCAACAACTGCAAATGGGTGTTTTAGCCAAAGGACAGAACTTGTGGACTGTTAGAGGTACAAACGCCACAGGACATCCACACGGCATTAATCATAATAATAATAATAAAACTTGCATTTGGTACAGCGCCTTATCAGGTCTTCCAGACATCTCAAAGCATTGGGAGGGAATGACGAGTTGGAGCACACAGCATTGACCTCTGGTCCTTACCTGTCACATGGAAAGGATTCTTGCTCTTTACACTCTGGGGAGGGATGGAGAGCAGGGAGTCCAGATTCACCAGGGAGGCAGCATTCGGATCCAGGAATAATTCTGGAGTCCGCCGCGTGCCGTTGGTCTTGGCGGAGTCCTGTAAGCAGTTCCCCATCCCGGTCATGTCAAAGATGTCAGGGCTGCTTGTGCCGTTCTGCTTTGAGCTCGGAGCAACTTCACTTAACAAGTCCAGCTTTCCTGCAGAACGAGAATTGGAAATGTGGGTTTAGCGAGTTAACAAATACATTGAATACCCAGGAGCAGGATTCTTCACACAGACTTCCCTGATGTGAAGTGCGGCTGTGGGAAATGTAGCTGTTGGGTGTGTGTGGGAGGCATGGGACAGGGAGTGTGGCTGTGGGGGGGAATGTACCTGCCGGACCGCCGAGCTGTGACGATGGGGATTGGATCCCCTCCTGGTTTGCCGAAGAGTTGCCCGGATCAGCAAACGGATCAAACGTGGAGCCGCTTGGGAATTGGAGAAAACGAGGGACTGAAGCGAAGCCGACACAACACGCACACAACACATACACACACGTAGATATTCACACACACAACACACAGATACACAAACATACTCACAGATACTGAACACCAGTTACTTCTGTGAGTTTAGCAGTGGTTACCTGCGGGCTGACTGCCGGAGGTGGGGGTGGGTAGCGAGGCCCAGGGATCCAGGGGGCTTTGGCTGGGATCTGGGGGTCCTGCCCATGGATCGGGGTCCCAGGGCTGTGAGGAAGCTGCTTGGCTGTCTGCAGACATCCAGGAATCAGCCACCGCGGGAGCCGGCATCTCTGTACCTGAAAGAAAGAGTGAACGACAGCGATGTGTACCGAGCCAGTTGGGAGCCCAGAGAGAGAGAACGTTACACACCTGTTCACAAACGCTTAACACGGAGTCTTTTTAGTCCTGTTTATTTTCGCTGCTGAACAGGAACGACTCAAACGGCTGCAGGTCAGTGAATGTTGACCACTGCTCCAAGGCCAGGGTCCACTTGCCTGTCTGGAGTTGGCGGCGGAGGGGGTTGGGGGGGGATAAGGTAGGCTCATGGTAACCAGTAATCATCCTTGCATTTATTACAGTGACATCCAGAGAAGAGAAATAACACCCCTCAACATGGGCACTGACACCGCATTACAATATACAGACACGCAGCATAATATAATCCTTGCGTTTGACACAGCGCCTTATCACGTCTTCGCAACGTCCCAAAACGCTTCACAGGATACGCCGTATAGTGTAGTGACTGTGTGTTTTGCGGGCGCAAACGCTGGACGACGAGAAAATCTGATTCGAGGACTTACCGAGGGAGTCCCAGGGGTCGGGAGAGGTGCCGGAGGTGGGGGAGGTGGCGTGTTTGTCCCCCCATGGGTGGCCGGGGGCAGAGACGCCGTTCAGTTCCGCTCCCCAGGGGTCCGCATGGCCCTCGGGGCCGGTCACCGGGGCCCCGAAGATATCCACCAGGTCCATCAACGACGACTGGACACAAAGAGAAAGCAAGTGTCTGGCAATACCTGACTTGGGGCCGCAGCAATCTCATAGATAAGGCCAATTCATTTGTTTCGAGGACAAATCAGATAGATTTCTGCTGGGAAATAATATCTGGGGATACAGTAATATAGTTCGGGACACGACATGTCAAGCGACTACTAGGATGGATGGAGGAAGGTGAACTAGATGGACCTTGATCTTTTGTCTAGCATGTTCTTATGTTGCTATATACAATGATATAACGTGCACGGCTGAGAGGGGCTACACACTGCGGTGTGTCGCCCTGTGTTACAGATGGGGCAGGAAGAGAGCAAGTGGGGTGGAGGGAGCTAGATTAGGAAGAGGGAGCAAGGGGGAGGGAGTGAGGCCGAAGGAGTGAGGTGGAGGGAGTGAGGCGGAGGGAGTGGGGTGGAGGGAGAGGTGAGCGGAAGGGAGTGCTAGGGAGCAGGTGTGGTAGCTGCCATGTTGTAACTAAGAGAGGAGCTAAAGAACTCGTTCAATTTACCTCGTTCTTCCCCTGGGACATTTCGCTCTCTCGCCGACTTTCTTCCAATGCTCTCCGAAGTGTGTCGTCCTCATCTTCATCATCATCGACGAGCGAAGACCTCTCTCTCTGCTCCTGTGCGAGAGGAAGAGGAGAGAGAAGCTGAGCCCTGCCCTTGGCCCCGGACACTCCCATAGCTACAGTCTCCACACTCCCCTCACGTGCACTAAACCAGCTCCACGCGGCCCTGTGTTGATCTCAGAGCACAGCACACTCTGACGGAGTCCTGTAGCTCAGTGGTTAGAGCGCTCGCTTTGCAAGCGAGAGACCTGGGTTCGATTCCCGGCAGGGTGAAACCTTGGGCAAGTTTCCTTACTCCACACGCCTGATAAAAATCCCTCAAGAAAAGAAACAATAATAATTCGGTCACTCAATCCACGACTGTTTGTGGGACTCTGCTGTGCGCAATTGGCCGCCGCGTTTCGCCCACAAATATACAGTCAATTCACTTTACAGTCTATTCTGTGAAGCGCTTTGAGACGTCGAGAAGACGTGAAAAGCGCTATATCAAATGCGAGGATTATTATTATTATTATTACTCTCAGCTGTGAGCAGAAACCACCCAACACAGCGATGGCGCAAGACACAACGCCGCAAAGGCAACCAAGCACTCATCCATTTGGTCCTGGTTAATGTAACTGTCCCTTTGAGTCCTCGGATGCTCAGTCTCGTCTCCAGTGAAGACTCCCGACACCAGCTTGTGGCAGTGGTAAACAATGTGCTGTTATGTGGTCAATTCTTAGGGGTAAAGGTTGTGTTCTAATGCCCAACGTTAGCCGCTGCAAGTGACAGCCAACAACAACAACGACTTGGATTTATATAGCGCCCTCCACGCTGGACGGCGTCTCAGAGCGCTTTACAGTGACGGATCCCGGGGCAGAGCCGGGGGGAGGGGGAGGAAGGTGATCAAAGGCGCGACCGAAAAGAAAGGTCTTCAGCAGAGACCTGAAAATGGGAAGGGAGGGAGCGAGACGGAGGGAGTGAGGAAGGCAGTTCCAGAGCCTCGGGGCATAGTGGCTGAAGGCACGGTCTCCGAAGGTGGAGTGGAGAACTCGGGGGACGAGGAGGAGGCCAGACCCGGAGGAACGAAGGCAATGGTTACTGTGCTGAGGAGAGAGGAGGTCAGAGAGGTCGGGAGGTGCAGAGGAGTGCAGGGACTTGAATACAAGGGTGAGGATCTTGAAGTGGATCCTCTCTGGGATAGGCAGCCAGTGCAGTTGGGCCAGGACTGTGGTGATCAGGGAGCGGAGTTTTGTGCGGGTGAGAATGTGGGCGGCAGAGGTTTGAATGATTTGGATTTTATGGATGGTAGTGCAGGGAAGGCTGGCGAGGAGGGCGTTGGAGTAGTCCAGCCGAGAGTTGACAAAGGTATGGACCAGGGTTTCAGCGGCTTTTGGAGTGAGGTATTGGCGGAGATGGGCGATGCGTCATAGGTGGAAGAAAGCAGTGCTGGTTGACTCTATTCTACGTGAAGACACCACCATCTTCCCTTTACTCCCACAAGCAGAGTGAGCAGAACGAGCACTTGGTTAGTAACCAGCAACCATTAAGCGGAGAAGCGCGCAGCGAAAGCCCACAAAGAAAGTCCTGCCCGACACTCGGGCTGTTAGCACGGTCTGTTCGCTCGGCATGGCCGAGGCTACCTTTTCATGTTGCTCTTTGCTCAAACTCAATGCAATCTGCAGCTGTATCTCTTCCTCAGAGTCTGTTGGTGACCTCTACAGGGTATTGAAAGCTGGGTTAGCACGTTACAGCATTCGATCGACAGACTCATAACACCCGGAAAACGGTAACGCAAGTCAATCTTTAGGTCAAAGAGGATGAGCTGCTCGGCCAGTGTCTTTCTCTCTCGCTTTCTCTCTCTCCCTATCTATCTCTCTATCCATCTCTCTATCCATCCATTTCTGCCCCATCCTGATGCGCATCGTGTCGGGTGAACACTGTGAGAATCCAGCAGTTACTGAAGGTTACGACTAGGTGGCACCACAACACCACCCTTCACTGAGCAGACTGACAGCAGCTGATGGCGATGGTTACAGCCATTAGTTTCTTGCCACTGGCCCAAATTGCCTGAAGATTCAGTTGGAGGCTTTAATATCTCACCCGAGGGACGGCGTCTCTGACAACTCAATGCACGCCACCCCCTCCCAGCACCGCGCTGGAGCATCAGCCCAGACACACAAGCTCAGAGTCCCTGACGTGAGCATTAACGCCCCCCACAATCTCCCAAACCCTTTCGTCAAGAGAGCAGCCTGACAGAGAGGGAAAAGATCTTTTCGGTTAAAATGCCCAGTTTCACCCATTGCCGTTTCCTTCCCACAGACGTGACCCCCTCCGGTCGAGACCGAGGGAAAGCAATCAGGTGTGGAGTGGGCGAGCGAGCAGGAGGTGCCGTGAAGGGAGGGTTTGCTGTACCTGTCCCACACCCCTCACTGCCTCCCCTCCCCACTGCCCTCGCTCCCCCCCACTTCCCCCTGCCCTCATTGGCCCCCCTCCCCCCTCCACCCCCTGTACCTGTAAGCCCCTCTCGGCCTCCTCCCTGCTCATGGCCAGGGCTAGCTGGAGCTGGAGCTCCTCCTCGCCGCTGGTGGTGGGTCGTGCCTGCTCCAGGTCAGGGTCGAACCTGGGGGATGAGGAAGAGGCTGGAACCACAAACAAGACAGAGACAACGAGAGCGTCAGTCAGTGACGTGATGTAATGTGAGGAGCGACTCTGCCTCGCGCTGGTGACCCCCAGTCCAGCCCCCGCTGTGGGGTGGGGGGGAGGTCACTCAGGCTCTGAGCTGCACAGTCAGTTTCTCAGGTAGTCCCGAAACTCTGGAACACTCTTCCTCTATCCCTCCTCCTTGCACCTTCCTTCCCCAACTTCAGGTCGCACCTGAAGGCATTCCTCTTCGACCGACCGTGCCTACGGTCGCCTCCCTCCTTCCCCCGGCTCGGTGTCATGCTCTGCCACTGTCAAGCGCTCTGGGACGCTGCCCTGCGTGAGGGGGCGCTGTGTAAATGCAAGTTGTTGTTGTCGTGAACACAGGCATCAGGTCCGCATTGTCCTTGGACAATTTGGGGGCGAGAGAGCTGGGGTGCAGGGGCAACCCTGGTTCCTTAGTGGAACGTATTTGGGCTAATTCGGCCAATGGAGGAAGTGGGGCCTGAGCTCGCTCAACACTAAACAAATACTAAAGAGTGTCAATCCGTGTGGGCTCGACCACCGTCACTCCTGCTCTGCTCCCTGGCTCCTTGTGGGTGGGTGTGTGTGTGTGTGTGTGTGTGTGTGTGTATACACACTGCAGAGATCACTGACAGCAATAGCAAACAGCGGCTGTCTTCAGAACATGGGCTGCAGATAAACCCTCTGCTCCACTCACTCCTTTGTGATAACATGCTCCATATCAGCTGGGGGTATTTGCAACACCGCACGAGATCGATGGATTCTGTCATGGGTTTACGTGCCTGCGCCTACATCAAGCTCTGTGTGGCCTTGTGCTGGGACCACATTGTGATCAGCTCCATTCCCCAGCCACACACGGCTTCACTGAGGAACGTCTCGTCCTCCATAGACAGCCTCCGCCACCCCCACACACGCTCCATTGAACTCAGCATTTTCCATCCCCTCGCACGGCCTCTCATCCTCACCCCCTCCCCTTCCTCCCCAGCTCAGGCCCACCCCTTTTCCCCCTGTTGATTCTGTCTGTACAGCTATCTAGGGCAGAACGTCTCAAACACACTCTCACGAGCCTCAGTGACTGAATATCTCCTGTCTCAGAATCAACGCTCTTGGTTGCAGACACAGCTACTCCCGGGTGTAGGTGACATACATGGAACTCTGTCTGACTTTGGATAGCCTTAGGCTTTGGGATAATAAGTTTCCGTGTGTATCAGACACCCGGTTGACTAAACAACTTTCTGAACTCTGAGGTTCAGGCTCTGCCCATTGTAATGGTCCACTCTCTAATCTGTCGATTCCTTTCATTACTTTACATACCTCGATCACAAGATCAGTCTGGATGAAAAAAGCCCTTCAGTCCCTCCGATCGCAACCCATTGATCAATAGTAACAACAACAACATGCATCTACACAGCGCCCCTCAGGCAGGGTAGCGTCTCAGAGCGCTTGACAGTGCTGGAGTGCGATGCCGAGCCTGGGGGGAGGTTGCCATTGGCCTGGTCGGTCAAAGAGGACGGTCCTCAGGTGCAATCCGAAGATGGGGAAGGAAGGGCCAAGGCAGAAGGATAGAGCAAGAGCATTCCAGAGTTTTGGGGTGTGCATAGAATTGTTTGGGCTCCAGCGCCTTCGGTGACCTCATCCCTGGGAGGCTCTGCTCAGTGACTGACCCAATTCCCAGCCATTCTTGGAGCTCAAGTTATTCTCTCACGCTCTTTGGGGAGTTTGGGTGAGAGAGAGAGAGAAAGAGAGAGAGTGGGGGAGGGAGAGAGATTGTCTATGTACAGTGTAATCTATCCCGAGCTGCTGAGTACCCTGGGGGACATGTACTCACAGTCTTGGTAGGAGATGGGTGAGGCGCAGGCTGACTTCCTGTGATCCTCGGGGTGTGTGTAGGAGGCCAGGCTGGGGTGGCTGTGCTGGTGGCTGCCGAGGCCGGTGGCCGCCTGGGACATCCTCTCCTTGGTTTTCAGTGCGTGTGCCCTGTCCTGGCGGAGACGCTCTTCGTCTTTGAGAAGCGAGACCAGCTGCTTGGCTTTCTCTCGCACATTGATGCCTTGGTCTTTCCCGTCTCGGTCTATGTACTGAAAGTCCTTCAGCGTCTGTACTGTGTAAATGTTCTCCCTGCATTGCTGAGACACCTTCTCTGAGCCTGTCTTGATGAGATAATCCAGAAGGGTCAGGGCCTTGTAAACATGCCTCCAGTTCTTTCCGTGGTCGTTCAGTCGCTTCCAAACCATCCCCATTATCTCGGAGAAGGCCACCACGTTGAAGGTAAGGTCGGCGATGTCAGACATGAGTGAGCTGGGAGGGCCCCAGGGGTCGTTGGACGTGGCTTCCCGAACCTTTATCTCGGCTTCGGAGTAATTGTGGACAAGGTTCTTAACCTGTCGCCTGATGGCCGAGGTGGTCATGCCTGGTCTCCAAGCTGGTGCTCACCTCACACGACACAGGAATTCCCTCCGTCAAACGGTCCTGGGGAAGGAAGGTCAGAGGAAAAGATGTCACCAGCTCACACCTTGAGCTCCTTCGAGATCCGTGCTGCGCCTTGGGACGTCCTCCCGACGTGAACGTCGCTGTACAAATGTTACTTGTTGTCGTTGTTTGTGCTGCCCTGTAAACAAGAGAGAGAGATTGGCCTCGTTAGAGATCTAGCGAAACAATCACCTCCACACTTAACGTCGACTCAATCGTCCTGGGATCTTCGCTCGCTGTGTTGAGGTTGGAGGATAAATCTTCAGCCTCCCTCCCCCCAGCCCCACCCAGGGCTCTGCTCACAGTCCCAAGTATTCAGCCCACCCCTTCTTCACACGTGTTGATAAAATGTCCATCCCTGATACAGACACAGACCTGGACAGGGACAGAGGCAGCACAGGGGCAGGGCATGACACAGTGCTCTCCTCCCCACCCCCAGCTGTCACATCTAGTTACTGAGACACCTGGGCCCTTCCAATATGGGTGGCCCCCAACTCTGGCGTAACTTGTCACTGAAGTCATCGTGCTGTCAAAATCCCGGCTGTGTTTATCTGGGTATTTATACCCACTCCTAACACGCCGCTCCTGATAACTCATCACTCAGCCCTTTCCCTTTGGAGCGACGAGTTATCAGGAGTTTACTGTCACAACAATCCTTGCATTCAGTTTCGCGACTTTCACATCGGGAGCCGCTTCGCAGGATATATTGTGAATTGTAGTGACTGTGTATTTTGTGGGTCAACGTGGCAGCGCTTTAAGACATCTCAAAGACGCGATAAGGCGCTATAACAAATGCAAGAGTTATTTTATAAGGATTGTATATTTTTCTCACAGGAATGTCCCACAGATAGCCATGACGTGAATGACCGGCTGTATCCGTGGGGGAAATGATGGCCAGGACTCCGGGACAGACGGCCTCCCAATATAAACTGACCTCATGGGCCTGAAGCTCACAGCCCAGCACTTTCTATAGAGATGCAGCGAATTCAGTCTGATTCAGGCACAAAGCTTTCATCAGCTCTCTGCCCGATGTGCTGCGTCATGGAGTTCAGCTACAATGAATAATCCCAAACCAGCAATCGAACGCTCTTCACCACTCTCTGGCAATCACTCGAACTTGGCCAGGCTTTCTGCTGACAGATAAGATCCTGGCAGTAACTGCAACATTCTGACCCATCAGTCAGCAGCCTGGCTCTGTGTGTGTGTGTATGTGTGTGTGTGTGCGTGAGTATGTGTATTTGTGTGTGTGAGTATGTGTATTTGTGTGTGTGTTTGCTACACAGTGAGCAGACACACATATACACAGACACACGCACCTCTTGTTGGAAGAATTTCAGATCAGATGGTCCAGGCACGTTATTAAGAGAATCTCTCGGAGCAGCAGTGCGGATGCTGAACACTGGCCTCAGTTATTGGTTCTGCAGAAAGAGCAGCTCTGACGCCAGATGGAGCAGGGAACACACTGAGGGCTGCCCAGCTGCTCTTCTCAAGCTCAGTAACCAAGATAGACTGAGGGGACAGACTAACACAAGCTCTCTCCACCCAAAGAACAGTGGCACAGTACACAAATTGCATTGACATATTTCGCCCACAAAACACAGTCATTACACTTTACAGTGAAGCGCTTTGAGACGTCTCGAAGATGTGATAAGGCTCTATATCAAATGCAAGGATTATTATTATTATTATGTGAAAACCCACAGTGTCTCTCTGGGGAGGTGGACTGAGCTTTCAGCTCAACTGCGGATGATCTCGACACATTCTCCAAAGAGATTGGAATTGGACCCAAACCAATCTCCGAGACACCGCGAGGCACAAAGCCACATCTTTACACCAGGGGTGGCCGACAAAATAAATATTCTTGATTGAATATTTCTCGATTCATCAATCGATCAAGACAAAAAAACGGGGAAAATTGGCTGCTGCATCTGCCTACGAGATATACAGTCACTACACTTTACAGTAAAACCCTGCGAAGCGCTTCGAGACATCCTCCCTATGTGAATGGAGCTGCAGCAAACATCAGGATTATAATTGGCTCCAGTGGAGGATGCGACACCAGCCTCCTGTGAGTGTAATATTCCTGCAGCAAGTCTCAGGCACGAGCAGGACACACAGTCTGTGATGCTGCTCAGTAAGCTGTACACCAAACCCTTCCCAAGTCATCGACTTCCTCATCTTTTATAATAAGAATAATCCTTGCATTTGATACAGCAACGTATCACATCTTCGAGTCGTCTCCAAGCGCTTCACAGAATATACTGTAGGGTGAATTGCCTGTACGTTTTGTGGGCGAAATGTGGCAACCAATTGCGCACAGCTGTGTCCCCAGTGTTTCACCGGGAATCGAACGCAGGTCCTCGCGATTGCCGGGCGGTTGCTCTAACCACGAAGCCTCAGAATTCTCTCTCTTGCCTGAGCTGCTCAAGTGTCGCGGGTTCCAGTGTAACCGAAATCAATCCACAGACTGGGACGTCACAGTGCAATCAATGTGATGCTTCACAGGCAAATGGTGATTCTGCATTCAGACACAGTCACTAACGTGCTGGTGTGGGCTCAGAGCAAAACTCATCACGAGCCAGGCTGCACTGCTGGTGGGCAGTAGCTCCCACTTCGCTCCCCCACACAACCCGCCACAACCATCTGTCTGCACTGCACCGAGAAAGTGCTGGTGAAGAGAAAAGCTGTACAAAATGCTGTTGAAGCCTTTCCGGGTAGCAATGTGATATCAGCACAAGGTTAGCGGTGAACTCCCGACACCGCACACGATGTCCTTGACCCCGATCACCTGCTCAGCTCTCCTGCCAGGGCCTCACACCATCATCTGGCTCAATACCTGGCCCAACAAGTTCACCAACGCCAGGTAACCCCAACCTACCGCTCTGCCCTCACCTCAGCCAGAATGTCTTACTCCAGGATCATCGTGGACATCAAGGACAACCCCAGGCAACCTCTTCTCCCACCACAAACCGGCTCCTTCACCCAACTTCCCACTCCCCGCCCGCCCTCTCCTGTCTTTCCAAAAATGAGGAGATGATGAACTTCCTGAGGTCCAAAGTCTCCTCCCCAAACCCCGCCCCCGGTCTCCACCCACTCTTCCCTCCATATCTTGAGCCCTGTGTCTCCCTCTTCCTTCTCCTTGGTCATAAAGTCCGGAGACATATACACGGGAGGAATGTTAATGAACAAACGTGCAGTTTTAGAGGAAGACTGCAGGCTGGAGCGGAGTGGAGTGGAGCGGAGCGGAGCCTGCTGTTGGGTGGGATTATTTCTGAATGAGTACCACGTAGGGTTAAACAGTACTGAGCGTCCCAGAGGACACGAGCTGTTGGGCAATTTCCTCAGAACTCTGTCCCTGACCCTGGTGGTAATCAAACAGAGACATTGATCAACACTGCACTTCAGGGAAGGTCTGTCAATGACTGAGAGAAATCACTGCTTTGAGCAGAGCCGAGCTGAACCCTGAAACCGAGCATCTCGGTGCTCACACTCGTCAACAATATACCGCAACACACACTTAGATAAAGGGAATTAGATAGGTACTCAAAAAGGAAAGATTTGCAAGGATATGGGGAAACAGCGGAGGAGTGGGACTAGTTGGTAGCTCTTTCAAAGAGCCGGCACAGGCAATGATGAGCTGAATGGCCTCCTTCTGTGCTGTAAAATTCGATGATGCTATTATTTACATTTATACAGCACGTTGTACATCTGGAAAGTCCACAAGTGCTTGGCACTGCCAGCTGGGCACACAGGCTGGGGATGGGAGCCAAGTGGGTGGGGAGCAGGGAAAAGGTAACCGAAAGCAAGGTCAAACTCCACACGCCCGATAATAATCCCTCAAGAAATAAAGAAACAGCAATAAATTGGTCACTTCAATCCACGATTGTTCGTGGGGGAACGCTGCTGTGCGCAATTGGCCGCCGCGTTTCGCCCACAAAATATACAGTCAATTCACTTTACGGTCTATTCTGTGAAACCCTTTGAGACGTCTCGAAGACGTAATAAGGCGCTATATCAAATGCAAGGATTATTATTATTATTAAAGAGGTAGATATTGAGATGTGCCAGGTGGTGGGGAGGGGGGGTGGTGGGGAGGGGGGGTGGGGCAAGAATGAGACAGAGGGACTCCAGGATGGGATTCCAGCAAGGGAGGGCAGAATGGCTGAAAGCCCGCCTGTAAATGGTGGGGTGGGCAGGTTGGGGGGGGGGCCATGAAGCAGGAGATGGGGAGCCAGTGGAACTGAGGGAGGATGGGGGCGATAGGCCGGTGCGGGAGAAGGACATGGGCTGCAGAGATCTGACAGTGAAAAGCTTATGGCTGGGGAACCGCTCCAAACGGACAAGGCCATCGGCAGCAAAGGGTAAAACTTTCTCTGATAATCCGGGATAAAGGATGGTGAGAGGATCCCTTTCACCCGAATCACCTCTCTCCCCGGTGTGCGCCCAAAGTGGTAAGCGGAGGCAGCGACCACAATACCCCAAAGAAGGTCAGGCTGACTTTCCTCACGGAGGAATTCTTTCCCAATGGCACAGCTCCGCTCAGCCAGTTCAGGGGGAGCGTTAAAGATCGCACAGCTCTATTTCGAAAAGAGAAGGGAGCTTCTCTGGATGCTACTGTGCGTGAGGGGCACTATATAAATGCTAGTTGTTGTTGTTGTTGTTGTTGTTTCTCCCAAGTGTCGTGGCCGACAATCCCACAAGTAACTGGTCAACACAGTCCGTGGCTGTTTTGGGGGACATTACAGTGTGTGTGTGTGTGTGTGTGTGTGTTCGTACAACAACAACTTGTAATTACATAGCACCTTTCACATCAGGAGAACGTCCCAAAGCGCGACAAAGTGTGTACACTGTACAACACACATACAGAGGCAGATGTACAATTAGACTGTGTACATTTTACAGTGCAGATTTACACTATGTCAACTGTACGCACTAAACTCCACACACCCCCCCCTCTGGCACAGATATACCCCTCACACACACACACACACCCTGCGCACACTGCAAATAATACTCGCACTGTCAAACTGTGCGTACAAGGGCAAGTACGTACAATTTACAATGTGCACTAACCAGGGGAAGGTGTACAACAGACTGTGTGGGGG